ATTTTTCAGCTCAAGCCTGTGTATTAGTATTTTTCAGCTCAAGCCTGTGTATTAGTATTTTTCAGCTCAAGCCTGTGTATTAGTATTTTTCAGCCCAAGCCTGTGTATTAGTATTTTTCAGCTCTTGCTTTGCACAGTGTGATATCTTATCTTTATGCTGCAGATAGTTTTTGACAATCATCATCTACCAGCTGATGGAGAGAAGCTGTGCTGGAGCATCACACAGGTCACTGGGAGACGCAGCAGAGTGGGTTCAGGTACTGAGAACCTCAGCAGGACATCTGCATCTCATCCCTACCTTCACTCATCCAGGTTTGAACCCAGAGCACCTGTTCTCCCATGTTTGTTATGTTCTGTCTTCTTCTGAACGGGTGCTCTGAACTGTAATTTTATTGTGCTCTGTACGATAACAATACACGTCTATCTAATCTAATCTAATCTAATCTAATCTAATCTAATCTAATCTAATCTAATCATGTATAATACGATCATAATTTTTTGAGCTTAAAAAGCATTAAAAATCTAATTATCAATAAATAACCTGTGTATAACACAACCTCCCCACTTTATGATTTGTAGGGTTAAATTTCTACAGACACACAGACACACACACACACACACACACACACACACACACATAAAAACAGCAATGGACTGAACAGAACCTGTGTCTCACACACAGACAGCAGGAAACATCAGTAACAGGGCGGTTCTGACCCGGCAGCAGTAGTGCAGACAGCTCAGCGTTGGGACCGGCTCAGAACCAGCAGCCCTCTGGCTCAGGCAGACGGGGCAGGAGGAGGCGGGGCTTGGCGGTGGCTGTGGATTCTGGCTCTTGAGCCCGGCGGCCATGATGAGTGTGTCCGAGTCATCGGTGTAGCGCTGCACCAGCAGGTCCACGTTCCACCTGCAGTGGATCAGCAGGTGCTCAGCCCAGTCCAAGTCCAGACTGAGAGTGGCTGAAACCTGATGGAGACCAGAACACCTGACAGGTGAGTCAGCTGAGGTCAAAGGTCAATCTGCTGAGTCAGCATGCTCACAGACCTGCTGCACAGTCCTCTGCATCAGCTGACGGACCTCCTCCTGCGTCATGGTCCGGCCCAGGGAGAACAGAACTGAATCCAGAACTCCATCCTCCAGCTGCCGCAGTGCTGGTACCAGACTGTAAGAAACAACACAAACATGACAACACCCACAACAGGGCCTGCTGCTGGCTCACACTGAAGTAAAACACACAAAACATTGATTCAACACCATTTTATACTTTTATAGGTTTCATGTTTCTAAAGTTACATAGTAGCTGGACTGGAACAGCACACCAGGAGGAGGCGCTGTTCACATCATTTACTAATACATCTGCCTGCACACTTTGTTTCAAACTGAAGCAGCTGCTACCAGACATGTCATTTATTTAACAGAAGTGTCACTGAGCTCCACAGGCCTGAGGGCAGCAAACCAGAGCAGCCAGGAACAACAGCTGACAGCAGGAATGTTCTACAACACACATATTATCAAACAGATACATCAAAATGTAAAGTCTCTACGAATCACTATCAGTTTGTATTCTGATAACAAAAGCCTGATAAATTAAGTTTATAAATGTTTGTGATCCAGAGACGTTCACCGGTGAGAGAATGATGACATCATCAAACTGGATTATCTCAGGATGACCATGATCCAAACTACTGTTTGAGACTAAATGTTAAAAATAAATATAGTACTTTCCCCCTAACCTCAGTGAAATGCTTTCTATTTTTATTTTTGTACAGACAATGTTTACCTATGGAATGCATGTAGTGAGGTATGAAAAAGCAGACATAATGTCCCTGACAGGACATATGTCATGTCCTTAGTATCAGTTTGTGATGTCAGTTAATATCAGAGTGTTGAAGAATCACAGCAGGACGTCAGTGTGGATCATCTGTAAAAACAGTGTCAGTCACTGACCACTACAGGCTGCCTGTTCACTGTTCACACATCAGCTGTGGATTTAAACATTTTGCTTTTCAGAATGTCCAGCATGATGCTGCTGACCCTGCTGCTGCTGCTGCTGCTGCTGCTGCTGACCCTGCTGCTGCTGCTGCTGCTGCTGACCCTGCTGCTGCTGCTGACCCTGCTGCTGCTGCTGCTGCTGCAGAACTTCTGTTTTTAATTTCAGACTAGTTATTACATTTAAACTGTTGATGTAAAAAAACAGATTCTCAGTTTGATCAACAGTAAAGTTTATTTGGGTTAAATTGAAGTTTTCAGATATTTTCCACAAAAAAACAAAAAAAAAGTCAGAATTTTACAGCCAAGCTGAAGAAGTTTTATTTTGATGAGTATAAAATCAGCCTTTAGTTAGTGTTATCTGTGAGCTGACAGACTGAGAACATGTGAGGTCAGAGGTCACACCTGATGTCAGCCAGGCTGTCGATGGCCACAGCGTCTTTCCTCGAGTCCGAGCGGCTGAAGGAGAACTGGGCCTGGCCTTTCTGAGGCGTGGACGGGTCCTCAGGAACAAACTCCACGATGTGTGGGTTGTCTTCGTTGCGGCGGACGCAGCCCTTACTGATGACGTGCATGATGCAGGAGAGCACGTCTCCGGTGCTGCAGCTGAACCGGCTGCTGCCTGAAGACTGGGACGCTTCCTGCTTCTGACACGAGTCCATCACCTGAAAAACACATGCACTTAGACCTGCAGGAGTCTTACTGTGTCCAGTTAGACCTGCAGGTCTTACTGTGTCCCAGTTASACCTGCAGGAGTCTTACTGTGTCCAGTTAGACCTGCAGGAGTCTTACTGTGTCCAGTTAGACCTGCAGGTCTTACTGTGTCCCAGTTAGACCTGCAGGAGTCTTACTGTGTCCAGTTAGACCTGCAGGAGTCTTACTGTGTCCAGTTAGACCTGCAGGTCTTACTGTGTCCAGTTAGACCTGCAGGAGTCTTACTGTGTCCAGTTAGACCTGCAGGAGTCTTACTGTGTCCAGTTAGACCTGCAGGTCTTACTGTGTCCAGTTAGACCTGCAGGAGTC